TACTCCCACCATTTGTGATAAAACACGTACAGAAGTTCTTGGCGCATTTTCCATTATTTGTTGGACATTTTCTTTTAATTCTTCAGTCCGCTTTTTAGGTCGGCCGCTTCCTTCTTTTCTTGTTACACTGCCCGTTTCACGAAAAACATTAACACAACGCTGAACTGCACTTTGAAAAATTTTGTACTCAACAACGCCGGGAAATTGATTTTGAAATTCTATGAAACATTCCTCAATAGAATACTTCCATATTCCATCAATCTTGCGTCCATTTCTAAAGTAGGACTATATGATAAACACTTTTTGTTCTTGAGAAAACACCATTTTAAACGCTTTTTAAAACGAAAATATTCAAATTGATAGCGGCGATATAGCGCTTTGACAGATGACGTTTAAGTTCATTTGCTATACGCTACGCCCTACGTCCAAAATTTCAGAACCAACTTGACCACGGTTTTATTTGAACACTCGTTATAATAATTTTATTATCCTTTCTTGAAATCAGACTCGATATATTGCATCAACACCTATAGCTGTCCTGTGAGTGTATGATTGTTGAACTGGACCCTCTTTTTGATCGGTGATGTGAACATTATGTATCTTCCTCACAATCTCAATGCCTACGTCAAGTCTTCCTTTAAACATTGGATATTTATCAGGAATTTATTTAACCTCTTCATATATTCTTTTCCGTTACTCATCAAAGTTCGAAAATTCTTATTTTATAGCTTGCAGAACTGCCTTTACCCGCTGTCAGTATTATTACTATTACTCGAGATCCAAACTTTCCCGAGACAATGCTGATGTCGGATATTTCATATTTTGTATCCACTTCTATTTGGTTAGTTCTAATGAATGCTTCTCTACTACAAAGAAACATGTTTTTTATTTAGCAATTATTTCGATACTTCCAGAGTCTCAAACTAGAATGAGCTGGAGACGTTTCAGTCTATGTTTTATCCAGTTTTGTAAATTTTCGTTTAGCAAAAAAAAATCTGAGCTGTTAAATCCATTACACACAATATTGTGCAACATGAAATATTTTAACATCCTCTTATCTACAAGTTCCCACGCTAGGACCACAGTACAGGTTGAAAATTCTTTAAAAGCCAGACAAAATTCCAAGAAAAGGGTAATAAATCATGTATTTGTTTACATAACGGTAATATAAACAACGCTTTGGTCACGTATTTTCCAAGAAATNTACAAGTTCCCACGCTAGGACCACAGTACAGGTTGAAAATTCTTTAAAAGCCAGACAAAATTCCAAGAAAAGGGTAATAAATCATGTATTTGTTTACATAACGGTAATATAAACAACGCTTTGGTCACGTATTTTCCAAGAAATACATCTAAATATCAATTTCCGAGAAAAAATTAAGGCGCACACCGCCTTTAAAGTTTTTTACATAACTGCTTAAAAACCCGACAAAATTTCAAGAAAAAGGTAATAAATCATACATTTGTTTACATAACTGTAATAAAAACAACACCTGGGCTGGAAATGATTATGACGTCATCATTGTTTTCCAAGAACGTGAGTAATGCCAACCTCTACAGTAAAAATAGCTGTTATAATTTTTTCAAATAATTCAAATGTAAAATCCATTTAAAACGCCTTTCGGTGGACACCCTGTATATGCATACTCTAATAATAGCATAAACTAATCTTTCCCAACTGATATTTATACGTAAATATTCGATTGTCGGCGTAATATTATTTTATGCGATAATAATTATATGATCAAAATTTGTTTACTTTATTGTCACGTTCTCATATGAAGCCGGAGAAATATGTTTGTTTACATTAAAAAATAAAAGTTTTATGCATCCAAGAGAGTATCAAAGCAAACGCTAAAACCAAACAACCCATATGTGTTGATTCGACACGGGATTTATTTTTTTAAATAATATTTTTGTCATGAGTACTTTTAGTGGATTTTTTATCTGAAGCCTCCGCTTTGTTTATATTAAAACATCTTCTCTGGTATTAGTCATACGCACAGCTGTGGCCACATTCCAGGAAAAGTTACATCAGCATCATGTTATTATCTTAATCCAACGCGCTCGTTTCTTATATTTTCTACCTTGTAACAAAAAGATTGGTACCAAGAGGCCTGCATCTCGCTGTCGCCACTGAAAAATAGGTGACCTCATGACTATGACATCATCATCCACACATTCCGCTCTTTG